GCGATCACCAGTTTTAATCCCAGCACTAGGGAGGTGGAGGCAGGACTAATATGGCTGGGTGGGGAAAGGAGTAAGAGGAGGGGGACACAGGGACTGAGGGCTTTTCCCTCTAGGGTTCGTGGAGACAGGATCGCCATCTCAGCTTGGCAGAGAGAGGTGAGGTCTCCTGACTCGGCTGCTTTGCTTCTCTGGTCTTCAACTTGAAGCTTGAGCCCCAATATCTGTCTCGGGGTCTTTTATTTTTCGTGTGACAGCCAGGTGCACACATAGAGGAGATGAGCCCCCATCCCAGCTTGGGCCACACTCATTCTGGGGTGTCGGTCTGTGTGCGGGGACTTGTCTGAATAGTAGTGACAGGAGGAGGTAGGCGTGCCTTCCTGGGGTGATGATGGGGGGCTCTCATCTTCTCAAGTGCAGTGCAGTGGGAACCCTGGCTGGTCTCTGCCCTTGGGCAGGGCTGGGGGCTTGTGAACCGGGTGGCAGCAGGGAGGCTGTAGAGTCTCCAGGACGTCAGTGTTCGTGACGGTCATTGTTGGGTACCCACTCTCGCTCTGCAGCTTTACCCGGCCTCCGACATTTTTATTGGGCTTATTCTCCATGGTACCTTACATGACATGAGTGAGCCTCGGGCCTCGTTGGCGCTGCTTGGTGCCAGCAGATCATGCTGTGGTGAATAACCTTTTCATTCAGCCCGGGCAAGTGAGCCTTCAGCGGGGTTGTGCAGGAGTGGGGTTGGATCAGCGGCTCTGTGCACCTGTACCCTGGACTGGCTTCTACTTGTTTCCCCCAGTCGGCCCGGCAGCATGACTCCCACCCAGCTTCTGATTGTTGGGCCATCTTGAAAGTAGAGGTGACTGTTCAACCTGCTCCCATGTATTGTCTTAGGAGACGCAGTATCCGGCATGGAGGCAGAGGATTAGGAGCCCAAGGCCAGCCTCAGAGGGCAGTCAGTATTGAAGACTCCCTCGGAAGGCTGGGGTAGAGTTAGGAGAGAGCCTACCCACTGAGGAGTTGCATCCCTATCGTCCCAGCCCAGTATGAGTCTGGAAGGAACTGTCCCCCTGTGGCTGTGAGGAGCTCCCATTTCCAGTGCTGCAGGGGAGGCAGATGCATAGTCTCAGAAGCTGTTTGAGACCTGGGCGCAGCCGGGCGTGGCCATGCCGTCAGGGCTCCAGCCCCATTCCCAGGCAGCGTCCCCGCGCTCTCTGTTCCTGTGTTCTTCACGCTGCAGGGGTGAGGCCCCCTGTGTTTCTAACCCCCACTGCAGGCCACTGAGGGAAGAGTGTGCAGGTCCCGGGAGAGGCAGTGTGTGCTCTGGACCCTGAGGGAAGCCACGGCCCCAGGCAGAGCGCAGTCCCAGCCTGGAGGCTTGCTGAGACCCGGGCCTCTCCTGAGCGTGGCACCCCACTGCTCCTCACATCCTTCCCTCCCCAGAGCCCACTGCGCCCCTTCCCTTTCTGTGTCCACCCTCTGCCTAGAGCCGGCCTCTTGAGGACAGCGCCTCTGGGCTGTGTACAGAAAGTTGGCTTTCCTGTTCTCCCCAGCTTACTGATGTGAAGTTGTCGAGCCCACCACGTGAGAATAAGACCACTCCCGCAGTTTCTGAGCCAAATTTGCAGCAAGGTGCATTAAGTACCCACCAGGAGAGGCCAACAGAGGGCAGGGCATCTGCCTAGTCACAGAGCCAGAAGAGGCAGGCCTCTGAACAAGAAGCCAGCCCCAGCCTTCCACTGGGGTACGGGCTTGTCACTCAAGGAAGGGCCACCAGGGACAGACCTGAGTTCCTTAAGAGACTACTGCAGCATGCCTGGCAAGCCGGGCCTCAGCCATCGGGCCACCTTGCCCCAGGGACAGGCTGCTCTCACAGAGACCTGATGTGACACTCTCAGGAGGCTTGACCTCACTGTGCACATGTGCCAGGGCGTGGACGGAATGCAGGTCGGCCTCGAGCAAGGGACAGCGGCTAGGAAAGGGAGGCTATAGGGGCCCCATCAGAGAGCACCACTGGGAGTGAGGTGCACGCTACCTTGCACCCTAACTCTGCGCTGTCCTTATTGGGAACAACCTCCGTGCTCCCTGGTGTCCACGTGGGCAGGGAGACCTGGAGGGCAGGTCAGAGTGCGCTGTCTCACTTGGGAGGTCCCAGCTAGGGCCTGGCTGGGTGCTAATGAGCCCCTGGGTGATCTGTGGGCACCACCCTGAGAGCCCCCACACTTGGCAACGGAGAGACTGTGTTGCTATTATGGAACAAAGAGAAAGGCCAGCTGGCAAATGGAGAGGGCCTGGTCCCCCAGGCAACCGCCATAGGGAGCAGCTCTGCCCCTTAGCTTAGCAGGCACCAAACCCCAGCCCTGTGGGGGCCTCAGAGTGGGGACACAGAGGACAGCACAGCAGTTGGCAGCAGCAGGAATGACCTGTGGCAGGGTGGGGGTGGGGCAGACCAGCACAGAGGGAGGGGTATGGTAAGGGCAGAGGCGGGGCCTTGGTGGAGAGGAGCCTGTTAGGTGGGGAGCAGGAGCCGCACTGCTGAGGCTCCAGGAGGACTGTCCTCTCTCTGTAGGGACAGGAGGAGGCCACCGCATGTGACCCACTGAGCTATGTCTCCAGGCCAGTGTTAGTGTCATTGTTATGACACTAGGAGCTGTACCCTAGCCCTCTCAGTTTTATTGTGAGTCAGGGTCTCACTGCAGTACCCAGGTTGTCCTTGATGCCCAGCCTCCTGAGTATCTAAGATTATGTGCCTGCGTGCCCATACCAGCCTGAGCTGTCAGCCTTCTTGTTGACGATGCAAACTGAGAGTTACAAAGCAGCCCATATTAGGACAGGCCCGGCTTCACCCAGCTAATGTCACTGGTCCTGTGGCCCTTGATTGTCTGTCTGGAGCCTCCCTGGTGCCCTCTGGTAAACCCTGGGACTCAGAGTGATCTTTAGAGGCAAAACGTTAAACAGACTTACAAAAAGGCCAGCTAGATGCAGCCGGCCACCTTTTAAAACTGTCACCTTCTATTTGTGGTCACCTGACTAGCCCCAGTGGAAGTGGCTGTAATCGCTACTGTTTTCAGAGTAGTGATGAGTACCGAGATCTTGAATATGTTTGTCATATGAGAACATTGGTCACTTCATTGTTTTGTGGGGCTCATGGGGTGCTGGAAATGTAAACTCCACTGAGCCACGCCCCCAGCACGTCACTGGGGGATCTGAGGCAGGGGCTACTGTTGAACTATATATCAGTTTATGTTTTATTCATTTATTATTTTTTTAAAGATTTATAATGTTCTGTCTGCATGTATCCCTGCAGGCCAGAAGAGGGTGCCAGATCTCACTACAGATGGCTCTGAACCACCATGTGGTTGCTGGGAATTGAATTTAGGACCTCTGGAAGAGCAGTCATCTCTCCAGCCCCCATTTATTTAATTGTAATTTTATGACAGGGTCTCACTAAATTGCCCTTTATACTTTGGTTCCTCCTGCCTCGGCCTCCTAAGTAACTGCAATGCCTGGCTTAAATGTATTTTTCTAGAAAGTTGAGAGGAAGCAAATCTGGGCAGACAGAAAGGTGTACATTAACCTACCATACAAGGCTGGGCTGGGGCTCCTTGGGGACATGGGCTGTGGAGCTGCTGGGTTTCATCTGTATCCTACCATGAATGTGATAGCCATGGCCCTTTAACGAGGGCTCCCAGGGAAGACCTGTTTTCTCCTTTATGCTCTTCGTGTGGCCTGTTGACTGAGGCGCATGGTTAGCCATGAGCTGTGTTTCGGGAGGAAGAGTTCAAATCCCGGCTGTAGCTTGTGCTAACTGTGTCCCCTAGGACAAGGTTCTTCATCTCTTTGAGCGTTGTCTCCTCATGGAATTGAAGTGAGCATCCATCAGATTAAAATAAGCAGAGGGCAGGGGCACACACATGTAATCCCAGCACTCGAGAGGCTGGGGCAGGACCTCAGCCATTTCAGGGCAACAGGGGTCCTAACGAGACTGTCTCAAAGAATCGTAACTTTTTTTAGCCAGGCATGATGGCACACGCCTTTATGCCCAGTTCTCCAAAGGCAGATGGATCTCTGTGAGTTTGAGGCCAGCTTGCTGTCCAGGACAGTCAGGACTATACAGAGGAACCTTGTCTCAAAACAAAACACACCCTACCCCTGAGACAGTTTCTCTGTGTAGCCCTGGCTGTACTGGAACTCACTGTATAGATAGAGCAAGCTGGTCTAGAATCCACAGAGATCCGCCTACCCCTGCCCCCACCCCAAGTGCTGGGATTAAAGGTGTGCACCACCACCTGCCTGACTAAAAGAAACCTTTTTTAATAAAAAAAGCATTATTTTTTATATTGTTTTGGTGGGTGTCACTTGTGCCAGGCACACATGTGAAGTTGGAAGATAACTTGGGAGAGTTGGTTCTCTGCTTCCTCCATGTGGGTCCAGGGATCCAACTCAGGTGTTGGGCTGGATGTCAAACCAACAACCCCCATGTGGGTTAGTTTGAGTAAGAGAGTTTCAGTGAGGGATGGCCTAGATCAAGTGGGGCTGTGCGCACATCTGGACGTTTTCTTGAGTCACTCTGAGTGTGGACATGGTGTCATGGGCTGGGCCCTGGCATGTGTTGTCAGGTTGGAAAAAGCTGGCTGCCAGCATTCGTACATTCACCGCTCCCAGCCGCTGACTGCTGGTGTGGTCTGGAGCTCCTGCCTGCCTGACTTTGTGCTGTGAGGGACTGTAACCTGCCAGATAACCCTCTCCCAGGGGCGCTTTTCCTAAGAGTGTTTGTCACAAAAGGAAACTAGAGCACCCGCTGAGCCAAATGCCTGCCCTAAGCCTGGCCGTGCGCTGTGCTGGCATTGCCGGGGCCTGGTGGTAGACTGTGTGGTGGTGGGGAAATGGTAAGCAGAGTCTTGAGCTGTGGGAGTGTCTGCGGCTGCCTGACAGCAGCGCTTTGTAGAGGGCTGTGCTAGCATAGCAACCAAGGCCTGTGGAGTCTGAGCCTGCTCCTTTGCCCGCAGCCCAAAACGTGACGGTGGATGAAGTGATCAGTGCCTACAGGCAGGCCTGCCAGAAGCTGAACTGCCGACAGATCCCCAAGCTCCTCAGGCAGCTGCAGGTATGCGGGGTGGGGGCCTGTGCTTGCCTGCGTGCGTGCGTGTGTGCGTGGGGGCGGGGGCGGTAGAGCCCTGGGGCCTGCCCAGCCAGCTTGCCCCCAGCCAGAGCCTGTGTACAGACAGCTGCCGAAATCGTTAGTTCAGCTGTGAAATTAGCAAGAATCCAGAGTCACATCAAGTGATACCTATTGGCCCTGTCAGCCCCAGAGAAACTCTGTCCTCAGAGAAAAGGCATCTCGTCAATCCCTTCAAGTCTGAACTCCGAAGTTCATTCTTGTAGTGTGAATTCTAAGGCAAGCGTCACCCTAGGCTCTGTACCCAGGCCGACTCAAAAACAAGAAGAAGGCAGCAAAACCCAAGTCTGGACTTGAAGCGGTATACTCCCTGTTATTTAGGAGTTAACGGAAACCAGCACTAGAGGGTGGAGGCAGGAGGACCGACTTCAAGGTCATCCTCAGCTACATAATGAGTTTGAGGTAGCCTGGGCTATATGAGACTCTGTCCCTAAAATCAATACAAGCTGGCAAGATGGCTGGGGCAAAGGCGCTTGCTGGCAGGCGTGACTACCTGGGTTTGATCAGCTGGTACCCACGTGGTAGAGTCGAGGACTAAATTTTTCACAAGTGTGCTGTAGGTGGGGTTTTCCTGTCTCTACCGCCTGTTCCAAAATAACCTGTAGCTGCTCCTGAAGTAACTGACTCCAAGACTTAATATAAATTGTAATGCTGGGCCAATAGCTCAGGCTTGTTACTACCTAACGTACATTTAGATTCACCCATATTTCTTATTTCTGCTTTGCCACGCTGCTTATGGCCTGCTCCCTCATCTTCTACACGGCCTGCTTCCCTGGTGGCTGGCTGGTGTCTCCTGACTCTGCTGTTCTTCCGTCATCCTCCCGAGCTTGGTTGTCCCGCCTACAATTCTTGCCTGGCTACCAGCCAATTAGCCTTTTGTTGACAGTGAAAGCGAGCGTCCCATGCAACAGTGTGCTCGAGCATTCTTCCACAACAGCGTGCAGTGTGTGCGCTGACACGCACACAGACACACCTGAGAAACAAAAGAAGACACGTTTCTTCCTTTCCCACAAATCCCAGGAGGCCCCTTCCTCACTGTTGGGGAATTTGTAGAAGGGATTGCTGGCTCAGAAGTGGGCTCCAAACGCTGTCTGAGTTAGTGTGGGTGTGAACAGACTCCGCCTGTAGCCTCCCCTCTGCGTTCAGTCCTGGCCATCTCTACACGGGGCCCTCGCAAGGGTGTCTGGGCCTTTGTTCTGTCCGTGTTCCAGGGCGGTATCGTTCCACAGAGTTAGCAGAGCAGGGCCGTGCCTTCCAGGGAAAGCCACTCAGTGTGGCATCTGAGGCAAGGATGAGGGCTGACGAGACCTTTGCACCTGTCAGTCAAGGGTGTTGTCAGGCCAGCCTTAGCCTGTGTGTCCTGGGGCTTTGTCACAGTGCTCAACCCTGTTGGACAGTGAGGCCAGAGACAGGCACCTGGCTTGTGTGTAGGTTAGGAAGGGGCTGAGGAAACACCCGAGCCAGTGCCTTTACGTCTCTGCTGAGTGTCAGCCCACCCGCCTCAGTCCCTCAGGACAGATTTCCCAAGTGGACATGTCCCCAGAGATGCTGGGTGCCCTCAGCCTCACTTCGTCAGCTGGAGTGACGGGGCTGCGGCTCCCTCGCCCGGGCAGAGTCATCTCATACCCTGTGTGCTCAGATGGCATCTCAGGGCAGGCCACGGCCCCACTTGGAAGGCCACCCCAGTTGCTGGGGTGTCTTACCTGTTTTGACCAGCCCTATCCTGCTTTCTTAGGAATTCACAGACCTCGAGCAGCGCATCAACTGCCTGGACCTAAAAGGTGTGTGTCCTCGGGGATAGCAGGGAGCCCAAGGGATTGGTGGCTTCTGTAGGAGACAGAGACTGGTGGTGGTGCGGACTCTCCACATAAAGGTGCCCGCCCCTTCCCAGGGGAGAAGCTTGACTACAAGACCTGTGAGGCTCTGGAGGAGGTCTTTAAGAGGCTGCAGTTCAAGGTTGTGGACCTGGAGCAGACCAACTTGGACGAAGACGTAAGAACCCTGCTGCCACCAGGCTCCTGGTCTCTTGAGTAGGAGGAGGCATGGGTAGGGCCTCATGAAGACCAGAAGGGGTGCTTGATGTGACCAGGGCGGGCCTAAGGCCTGAAGGTGCAGCCTGGGGAGCTGGTGGGGGGGCGAGTGTGGCCATCAGGAGCTTTCCTGGCTGTCACGCTGCAGGGCTGAGAGGTACCTCGGAGAGTTGCAGCCTCAGTGGGCTGAGTGTTCCTAAGTGTAGGTTGTAGAAGAGCTCTGCCCTGCTGGGGCATCCAGGCATACCTGTCATGCTGAGGCTGCCCGGCACCCTCCTGTGGCACAGCCCGTGTGTTCCCCTGGCCATCTGCCCTGAGGCCAAGCCCCCATGTGCCTGTCCCCAGGGTGCCTCAGCCCTCTTTGACATGATTGAGTACTACGAGTCGGCCACCCACCTCAACATCTCTTTCAACAAGCACATTGGCACCCGGGGCTGGCAGGCTGCTGCCCACATGATGCGCAAGGTGGGTACCAGGCCCGTCTCCTGCCCCGCTCCGAGGCCCTGCGCCGCGCCTCTCCTCCCTAGCATGGCCCTTGGAAAGCGACCTTGTCGCCAGCCCTGGTTGACTCATCCTGGCAAAGCCCGGTGCAGGAAGGAGGTAGAACTATCTGGAAGAGGGTCCCCGTCACAGGAATCAGGGAGCTCAGACGCAGGTCCCCTGTGTAAAGTCCGGGTGTTCGCTGTGATGAGTGACCTGGCCTGGCCTGTCCCCACCAGACAAGCTGCCTGCAGTACCTGGATGCCCGCAACACACCCCTGCTGGACCACTCGGCGCCCTTTGTCGCCCGCGCCCTGCGCATCCGCAGCAGCCTGGCGGTGCTGCACCTGGAAAATGCCAGCCTGTCTGGGCGGCCCCTCATGCTGCTGGGTAAGTCTGCGTCCGTAAAGCCTGCTGCTGGACAGGTGGCCCAGGGTGTGGGCTGGCCAGTCACCCCCACCCACTCCGCAGCCACGGCTCTGAAGATGAATATGAACCTGCGGGAGCTGTACCTGGCAGACAATAAGCTCAACGGCCTGCAGGACTCCGCCCAGCTGGGCAACTTGCTCAAGTTCAACTGCTCCCTGCAAATCCTGGACCTGCGCAACAACCACGTGCTGGACTCAGGTGCGCCCGTCTGTCCTGCCACACCGTCACCAGCACCTTCTGGGCCGCGCTGTGCTAGTGGCTGGGTGGTGCTGGACACGAGGGTGGCCTCGTCCAGTACCGCCCTCCCAGGCCCGCAGCTGGCAGGGAGGACAGCTGTGCCTCTGACAGTTCCAGCCCCGACAGGGAGCCCATGCGGGAGAGCCTCGGTCTCACTGGGACAGCGCAAGCAGAGATCTCTCCAGGGACGAGAGAGGCGCTGACCACCTGCCTTTCCAGGTCTAGCCTATATCTGCGAGGGGCTCAAGGAGCAGAGGAGGGGTCTGGTGACCTTGGTGCTGTGGAACAACCAGCTCACACACACAGGCATGGCCTTCCTGGGCACAGCGCTGGTGAGTCCGGGCCTGCTTCGTCAGCCCCGTCCAGCTGGCCCCAGAGTAAACGCTGAGGCTTACATTTTATTACATTTACGTCTCCACACGCACGTGCACACACACGCACACCCGGGTACTCTTGTGGAGGTCAGAGGACAGCTTCCACCAAGTATAAATAAATATCCCAGGTATAGAACTCGGATCCTCAAGTCATTTAGCCAGCCCTGGACCCTGCTTCTTTATCTTCCTTCCTTTTCAAGATTGGGTATCTCTGTCTCACTTTGACTGTCCTGGACTTGCTCTGTAGACCAGCAGGCTGGCCTAGAACACAGAAATGCAACACCATGCGGGGCTGGGTCCTGTTTAATTGCCTTTGTAACAGACAGCATAGGACAGTGCTTTGCACAATGTTGGGTCCCAGCCCCAAGGACCTCTGTGCCTTGCTTGTCAGCTGATAGCTGCAGGGGCGTCCTGCTCTCTAGTCGTGGCTTCCAACCCTGGCCCTGCCCCTCTGACATCAACATCTAGGAGCAGGAAAACGCCAGCGCTTACACCGGGGATTTCTCCACTGTGCTGTAAGCCTGTATATAAGTCTGCTCACTCCTTACGGCACACCCACAGACGACACGCGCGCGCACACACACACACACACACACACACACACACGCACGCACGCACACACACGCACGCACGCACGCACGCACACGCTCTCCTGGCAATAAAGGTGGCAGACACATTCTCTTAGCACAGACAGCCGGACATCTTGTCTTTCATTTCCTGATACATTAGACTTGTTCATGGTGTTGACGCCACAAGTGGAGGTTCCACCAAGATTGGGCATCACAGCACAAACTGAATATGTTGGCCTAAAAAACTAAATATTTCTGGAAGCAGTCAGTAAGTTTTTAGTCTTTTATTGTCACATAATATATAAAATAATTGGAGCAGACACCAACACTCCCAGGGAAAGGAGGCACTTTGTGCCCAGTGCCAGGTCCCCTCCCACAGGAAGGCTGTCTTTGGGGTCCTTAAGTCATTGGGAGACAGGTTCCGCGAGGGCAGGGAGCCAGGCTGTGAATACGGGCCCGCATGGACTGTGGGGGAGGGGGGGGACACAGCATGGGAAGGACTCGAGAGTTCCAGACCTGCGGCGGCTTCTGCTCTGAGAGGCGAAGAAGAGGAGGAGGACTCTTGCCTTGGCTCCTCCGCCTCCTTTCCTCCACCACGGCCTCGCCTCCTCACCCTCCCTGTCCCTTCCAGCCGCACACACAGAGTCTGGAGACCCTGAACCTGGGCCACAACCCCATTGGGAACGAGGGTGTGCGCAACCTCAAGAACGGGCTCATCAGCAACCGGAGTGTGCTGCGCCTCGGCCTGGCCTCGAGCAAGCTCACGTGCGAGGGTAGGGTACGGGCCAGGCGCGCAGGGGCCAGCGGGGCTCGGCAGGGCGGCCGGCCAGCGGCCAGGCATGGGGCCCGTGGCCAGCCCCTGCGGTCCCCCTCCCAGGCGCGGTGGCCGTGGCAGAGTTCATCGCCGAGAGCCCCCGCCTCCTGAGACTGGACCTCCGGGAGAACGAGATCAAGACAGGCGGGCTCATGGCACTGTCCTTGGCCCTCAAGGTGAACCACTCCCTGCTTCGCCTGGACCTGGACCGAGAGCCCAAGAAGGAGGCGGTGAGGGCGCGTGCCTGTGTACCTGCTGTCTTTGGGGGCGGTGAGCGGGTCGGGGGGGGGCGGAGGCCACACAGAGCCCTAGCAGGCCGGGTCCCACAGGTCAAGACCTTCATTGAGACGCAGAAAGCCCTGCTGGCTGAGATCCAGAACGGCTGCAAGCGCAACTTCGTGCTGGTGCGCGAGCGGGAGGAGAAGCAGCCGCTGCAGCCGTCGGCCTCCATGCCCGAGATCACCGTCACCGCGCCCCAGCCCCTGGAAGAGTCTGGGGACCTGCCGGCCACCGGGGCACAGAACGGGGGCCCTGGCCCTGGCCCGGACTCGGACTCGGACTCGGACTCAGACCGGGAGGAGCAGGAGGAAGAGGAGCAGCAGCAGAACCAGCAGAGGGCCGAGGGCGGCGCGGCCCAGAGCCCCGCAGCGCCCTGCCCTGCCCTCGTACCCTGCACGGACTCCCTCGGCCCCGGGGACAGGAGCCCCCCCTGGCAGCCCCTCCCCCGCTGAGCAGCGCATTTCTGTCTCCAGCCCAGGCCGAGGCCACAAGGTGTTTGTGGTGACCCGGGTGGAGAGCCCGCCCGAGAGGCCGGGGCCCCCTGTCCCCCCCTCCTTTGTCTCCCCCCCTCCCCCCTCTCCTCCCTCCCCACCCGCCTCCCCACCGTCTGAGACCATGGACATCCAGGACCCAGAGCCACTCGAGGCTCAGCTCCAGCCAGAGCCGCCTCAGGCAGGGCAGCCTCTGCCCAACGGCCTGAAGCCCGAGTTTGCCCTCGCTCTGCCCCCAGAGCCACCCCCGGGGCTGGAGGCTAAGGGGGGCAGCTGCAGCCTGGAGCACGGTAAGAGAGAGAGGCGGGGACGGGCCACGGGGAAGGGTGGATGACAGCTTAGAACGGCCCCATGGTGACGGGCAAGATGTGGGGGGTGGGGGGGCTGTGTGGTCAGGAGGGAGGGGCAAGGCCGGGCCCCTCCTGCCCCTCAAGGAGCTGCCGCCCACTGCCCACAGCCCTGCACCCCCAGGGTGCCAGCAAGCTGGAGGAGCTGCTTTTAGAGGCCAGTCAGGAGGCCCCGCGGGACACACTGTGACACTGTAAGTAGGTGTGGTCCGTGGGAACTGGGGGGAGGGGCTGCGCGGCCGCCCTCTGCCGCACGCATGCGCACTGACCATCCCCGCTTCTGTCCCCCTAGTTCTTTTGTTCCGGCCGGTCTGTGATGAGCTGAAGCCATCCCCAAGGATCTGCCGACTCCCCGCCTAGTCCCCCAGGAAGCCGGGTGGGGTATCCCAGGCCTCGCTTCGGGAACACTACAGCCGAGAGGGGCACCGGGCTGGGAGCGGCTTCCTGGACATTTGTGTCTGCCGCTCTGGCTCGCGCCCTCCAGGTTAGGGCTGGGGTGGACAGGGGAAGAGGACGGGAGGCGCTCTCCAGGGTCACTGGCCACAGGGCTGCTCTGGTCCTGGGCAGGGGCAGGAGGCTGGACAGATTAGGATGGCCCCCTGGCCCCCTTCGGGACCTGGCTGGTGAGCGTGGTGGAAGTTTGCCAGCCCCTGTAAGCTGGGGCCAGCGGAAAGGAAGAGCTTTCTTAAGTGCAATAAAATCTATCAGGGAGCTGGGCACGCAGCAGCGGGGTTCTGGGACCCTGCTGCCCGGGCCACTGAGGCTGCACCCTGGCAGGCACTACAGCGGTGGGCAGCGGGGGGTGGGTAGGTGTGGGTGAGGGTGGGCTGGGGCTGGGCCACTCCTGCCGGTGCAGCTGTGACACCTTTTCTAATAAACGGGAGCTGGGGTCACCATCCTGCCTCCGTTTCGTGCCGGGCCGGTGCCCAAGGGCCAGGGGAGAGGAGTGGTCCCCAAAGGAAGCCCAGAGGCTGGACAGACCGCCCCAAGTCCTTCGCCTTCTTACGCATCCATACCTCAAGCAACACCAAGGCCAGGGTTCCCAGGGCGCCAGGTGAAGGTGCCCGGGGCTGGGGTAGCAGGTCTAGCCTGTCCTCTTTGCCCCATCTGCGGGGGGGGGCTGTGAGCCACTGCGCTGTCACTATCCTGTGGGCCGTCTTCAGGAGAGCTGTCCCCTGCAGAATACCAGGCAGCTACAGGGCCTGACACAGGCTCGTCATCCCCGCCACCAAGGAGTGTGAGATGGGAAAATGACACGTCCCAGGCCACTCTCGGTAACTCAGACTGAATGTGAAGACTTAGATAGTGGTGAGCCTGGCCTAGAACCCATCAGAAAGGTGCTTGCTTCCTTGCTTGGGCGAGGCCGTGGGTTCAATCCCAGGCACGGCGAGAATGAAACCTAAGGAGAAGAGCCCTTCCTTCATCTGTAGGAAGTGCCTGCTGCCTGTGTGGGTTCAGGCTGCAGCCTCATTTCGTCCCTTTCACTCTCAAACCTGGAGTCGGGAGGCAGAGGCCAGCGGATCGGTTGAGTTCGAGGCCGGCCTGGTCTATAGAGTTCCAGGACAGCCAGGGCTGATAGAGAAACTGTGTCTGAAGAAACCAAACCAAGCAAACACCTGAGAGTCCTCTGCACCCCACCACTGCATCCGTCAGAAGCTTTTTTGACACAAGGATGTGTGTACAAATTAGTGTGTAAATATGGTGGTGCCTGCCATGGCACACTCATGGAGAAGAGCGGAGACCCTGGCTGTTTGTACCTCGTTTGAGTGAGGGTCTCTTACACCAGGCTAGCTGGCCTGTGACCTGGAGAGTCTCCCGTCTTCTGCAGTCTCCTCAGAGGAGCGCTGCAGTCACAGGCAGCCTCTTGAAACACTAGCGGATGGTACTTCTGTCGCCTCCTGCCGCAGACAACCTCACCACTCCTTGGACACACCAGACACTTGCTTGGGAGTGGGGCCCAGGGAAGCCACACACCGTAGCCACTGCCAACCACGCCACTGTTTGTTACATTCCAACCCTTAAGTGCCCAGGAGACACCAGTACAGCCACCCTGCTACCAGCCCCTCATGGGCGAGGCTGGGGAGGGGCTGAGGTATCCTGAGTTCTGGGGAAAGCCTGCCTGGTGGGCTCCACTATAGTAGTGTAGTCCCCAACCACCTCAGGGGGCTGTGGTCAGTGTATTAAGTCTCAGCAGTGCTGGCCCGATAGACGTGCCCTCTGCAAGCCTGTGTGGGCCTCCTGCTTTTGGCTACTTGCACCTAAAATGGTATGAGAAATCGGTCCTTCCTAGGAGAGCGAGTCCCTTAGGATGGGCACCAAACCAGGGTGAAAAGGGTACTTATACAGGGGCCTTTGGGGTTAGGTTACTCAGGTTAAGAGCACTGGCTGCGCTTCCAGAGGTCCTGAGTTCAATTCCCAGCAACTACATGGTGGCTCACAACCATCTGTAATGAGATCTGGTGCCCTCTTCTGGCCTGCAAGCAGAATATTGCATACCCTAATACATCTTTAAGGCAGTGGTGGTGCACAACTTTAATCCCAGCACTCGGGAGGCAGAGGCAGGCGGATCTCTGTGAGTTCGAGACCAGCCTGGTCTACAGAGTGAGTTCCAGGACAGCCAGGGCTATATAATAGAAGCCCTGTCTCAAAACACAACACAACAAAGAGGGACAAATGGCTGTTTTCAGAGAATTGTGTGGCCAGATGACCGCCTCTACGTCCAACCTGCAGTTCATGGTCCTGGAAACCAGTGAGCTCTACAGAGTGACAAACCCCAAGTGACTGCCTAATGGTGCCTCCTAACGGTGCTGAGAATGAGAGAGAATTCTCCTGGCCTGTGGCTTGTCCTCCAACTCCTTTGTCACATGGCCAGCCCTAGCATGCTAGCATGGAGTTCCTGGGCTCCAGTGAGTCTCATTCAGCCTCCTGAGTAACTGGGACTACAGGTATACAAGCAGGCATATGAGACACACACACACACACACACACACACACACACACACACACACACACACACACGGAGGTACTGAGGGTGGGGCCAGGGCAGCATGCTTGATAAGGTACTATTCAACCACGGCACCCACCCCACCCCCAATTGCCCCTCTTTTTAAAGTTTTGTTTGGTTTTGGAGACAGGGTCTCTCTGTATTGTTTTGGAGGCTGTCCTGGCACTCGCTCTGTAGACCAGGTTGGTCTCGAACTCACAGAGATCCGCCTGTCTCTGCTGGGATTAAAGGGGTGCAGCACCACCCACTTGGTTTGGTTGTTCTGAAGCTGTACCCAGCCCTAGTGACGCCAGCACCCTGACACAGGAAATGTTCCTTGCTAGACTTCCTGGAGCTCATCTTGGAGGCAGCAGCTCTCCATCCTCCGCATGACTCGGGGACACCACCCATGCAAGCGAGTGCTGGCTGGCGGGCAGCCCCAAAGGCTACACGTATCACTGGTCCCGGGACAGACAGGGTCTCATCTGCTCAGTCCATTGCAGTTGCAGGAGAGGTACACACGGCACTTGGAAGTCTTCTGGTTGGTGACAGCCAGCTCCTTGGCCTGTGCGAGATCACGCAAAAGCCCTGGGGTCTGTGGGGACTAAACCCTGACATCCTGTTAGATTTGGCAGACACACAGTTTCAAGATAGAGTAGGCAGGGTGTGGTGAGCCGTCCGGGAGGTGGAGGCCAGAGGATCGGGTGTCTAAGATCATTGCTGCAGGTCAGTCTGGGCTACCCCAGGGTCCATCCTGCCCAGAAAACAACACCGGCAGCACTCAGCAAATACTTCAGCGTCCAGTGTTCTCAGCCCGCCAGCTCCAGTCTGTGGTGCTCTTGGCTGATCCCAGGATATATCTATCCCAGCCTCAACTTAATGCAAAAGCCTGGCAGATGGGAAAGGAGACATCGGAACCCCATGCAGGCTGGGCATCAGCGGGACCCGATGAAGTCAGGAAACCCTGCCAGGGCACTGGCTTCACACACACACACACACACACACACACACACACACACACACACACACACACACACCACCGAAACATCCTCTACCTTGCTGTAAAATTTTTGCCTTGGCTTGGTTTTGTTTGAGGCAGAGTTTCTCCATGTAGCCCTAGCTGTCCTGAAACTCACTCTGTAGACCAGGCTGGCCTCCAACTCACAGAGATCCGCCTGCCTTTGCCTCCTGAGTGCTGGGATTAAAGGTGTGCGCCACCAAGCCCAGCACTGTGAAATTCCAAACATAAGCTTAGCCATGCCAAGGCTGAAAGGCACATTTCCTGACAGTTACAGGTACCCTCTGACCTGTGTTCACTCACCAGTACTCATGAGAGATCAAGCAAGTCAGGAATAGACTGGCTTAAGCCTGAGACCTAAGGGATGTGAAGGCTACCATCTTCTTAGTCCTCAGGGTCCCGGCTCAAAAATCATTGGTCAGGAGTGTAAGTCAGCAGTTGAGCCCCTGCCTAGAATTCCCCAGTGAGGGGCTGGGGGTGTGGCTCAGTGGTAGAGCCCCTGCCTAGAATCCCCCAGTGAGGGGCTGGGGGCGTGGCTCAGTGGCAGAACTCTTGTCTGCCAGTCAGGAAGTTCTTTATAGATCCTCAGCACCCACGAAACACAAAGTCATCCCCTTGAACTCTGATCTCTGTAATTCAGTGCTGAGATCTGCTGTTCCCTCCTCACCATACTATAGTGGATGAGGGACCCCGGTCTGAGAGTGTGGCTGCGGATTTCACTACTGGGCACCCAGGAGCCACCTACAGGGTGACACCCATCCCTGGTCTCTGACCATGCTAGCAGGGAAGGGCCCAGCCCAGTCACTGTCCTGCCTGGCTTTTCTCTGACTCCACATTCCCCTCATGTCCCAATCCCTGTTCCTCAACCTCCCTGCTGGTGACGTGGCTTCTCAGTCAGTAAGCAGCCCCAGCCGGTGGCCCTGGAGTGACTCGTGAGACAGGCACATCCTCCAGAGTTCCTCCTGGACAGTTACCTGCCTGTCCGGGTAAGGCGGGGCCACACACCCATCTGGCCGAGGCCTAATTAGCCCACACGCTGAGGGGTGGAGCCACCTGGTGAGGTCACAGGCAAGGCCCTGGGAAATGCCAGTTCCTGCCCTGCCCACAGAGGGCAGGCGAGGGTGTGGGGAACAAAGAGCTGTGATGCCCCGAGGCCTGGGCGCTCCCCTTTGCCTGAGTCAATTGGGCGTCTGTCCTTCATCTCCCCTGCCCCCGCAGCCTCACCCACCACCCCCGCAAGCCTCCTACCACCCGTGATGCCAGTTGCTAGGATGCGTTCAGAGGCCTGGCTCCCTTGGGAGGAAGTACTTGGGGGCAGGTGGCCTCCTCACCCAGCCAGAAATCCAGGTCATGAATGCCAGCCCCGGCTTTCCACGGCTTCTTTTATTGCTTTCTTGACTCTTGTGTTCCTCGCGGGCCCCTCTGTGTGCTCAGACACTGGTGTGGTCCAGCTGCCGACTCCAGGAAGCTACTACCTGTCGCCCTTTGGCTTCCAAAGTCACCAGAGTGTGCGCCATTCCAAACCCCGTCCGTCTTGAGCCCAGCCCTACCCTCACACCCCCCTCCGGGCGGCGGGACGTTGCTGCCATCCGTGGTGTTCTCCATTCCAAGCCCAAGCGGCCTCTACACCCTTAAATTAAAGGACTCAGGCCATTGGCCTTGGCTTGGCCCCGTTGGTCCGGTCCCGGGGGTGATGGGTCTCTCTACTGTGTCCTGATGCAAGGGCCACCTGGGACGTCCCTGGGGCCACCTGGGACGTCCCTGCGGCATTACTGGCTGCACGATTGGCCTGGGGACCATCCCGGGATGGGGACTTGGGCGGGCTGGGGGGCTTGAGCGCGCTGACAGCCCGGATAAGGCCCATGCGGCGGCGGATAGAATGGTCGAGGTTGACC